CCAGACACTTAAATATACATACGTAAGTTAGAATTTGGCTGTGTTAGCTGATGGGATATTGGAATTGATCTTTTTTAATGTTTTACCAGGAACTGAATGCTTAATCGTTTTATGAACAGAACACTAGTTTTCCGTCTAGTGGCTGATACAAAGAAGTAAGGTAACTGAATTAAAAAAATTAATTAAAAAGTCTTTTCAGTCTTATGTTTTGGGTATTGCCTAGCCAGACATTTCAAACGCTCATGTCTGCCTTCTCTTTCATTAGTACCATGTTTTAGAATGAGGCTTGCTGTCAAACGCCAAGATAAAGTTAATCTATTTCTGAGCTACTATTTTCTGGTTTGAATAATCAGTAAGTACTGCTTTTAATGCATTGGATTCCTGAGAGAAAACTATTAAATAAATAGAAAGACAGGTGTGTAACAATGCTTTTCTGTGTTTCTGAGGAAATTAAATATAGCTTGTTGTCAGTTCCTACCTCCGTTAAAGACAGTAAATATCCCACCTAATAGAAGACAGAAAAATGTTAGCCCTACACCTTGTGTGGAAAAAAACCCCCTTCCTCTAAATGAAGATATTATTGAAAAGTATCTTATGCAACAGTTCTTCCTATAACTTTTTAACAGATTCTACTTTGCTGAAAAAGTTGTTCGATTTTTTGGCATATGTCTGTGGAGTGATATAAGTTAAAAATACACTAAGCTATTAAAGCTAAAAGGTGGATTTATTACTTTCTAAGGTTTATTGAGTAGTATATCTGGGGAATGAACAGCTATCCATTTTTACACACAGCTACACAAGAATCCCACTGCTCACCTGTAGCTTCTGTGGGGATTTTAACATAAAGAATGTCTTTGGTCAGGGAGAAATAATAAATCTTTTTAGAGATTTGTTAGGCTAATATAATGGAGATGTTTCTGTGTAGATATTAAAGAAGTTATATTTATATGGGTAGTAGGTGATTCATAGTACTGCTGTTGAAAGCATTGCTGTATGTTCTACAAGATACTACTTCTGTATAGTAAATAAAATAATGCAATACAGATATAATGAAATATAGGTCTGCAGACAGGCTAACATGTTGCTAATAGAACAGTAGTACTTCACACACACACACAGAAGTGTATATAATAAAATGATCGAACAACCATTCACTGAACAATATACATGTAGAAATCTAAGTGTGTTTAAATAGCCTCACCTCCAGCATGCTTTTTGCATTTAACGTGTTCTTACAGTAAATAGAATTTGATCAAAAAAAAATCACTAAACTTACATTTATGTTAGAAACATGTAAAATTTCACTTTAAAGGTATTTAAAATCTCAGTAGAATACTGAAGAATTTTAATACTGTTGGCATATAAGTTCGTGAATAAATGGATGTTGATATTGACTTGCATGTGCTAGTAAGTATGTCTTTTTAAAGTTTTAATCTGAATCTGCAAGCATTTCTTTCTGTAGATCCTTTGGTAAGAGTGAGAACTCTTTGAAGGGATATCTCTGTTCTCATTATTGCAGTTGTATTCCTTCTTTGTACCCCATCAGTTACGCACCCCTACCAAATCACAACTGTTTTATTCTATGAGTCACTAAAAATTCTGTGATCTCGTAACCTATTGTAGAGACACTGTTGACGCTGTTCTTATAGACATTTTTCTAGCATTTCTAAAAGTTTCACTTCTAAGTGATAGCAGTGAAAGCACATTTGCACAAATTAGAAATATATTACTACATGATGGTTAGTTACAGAAGATACATCTTGGTATGCTGAAAAAAAAAGCTCAGCATGTTCTTTCAGAGAATGGAAGGTATAAAGTTGCAAAATGGCTTAATCAAGGTCATGTGAGAGGAGGATTGTGAAGCTTAATTCAAGAAAATGCAGTTATATTTCTCTTTGGGATATAAATAAAATCATTTATGTCTTAACAATTAGCAACAGGATAATACATTTCTTCTTAAAATGTAAGGTATGTTTTCATTTGATACCAGTATAAAGTATCAAACAATTCAAATATTTGTGAGATATATCTAGTTATATTTCAGCTCTCAGAAGTTTAGTATGAGAATCATAGAATCATAGAATCATTTAGGTTGGAAAAGACCTTTAAGATCATAAAGTCCAACCGTTAAGCTAACCCTGCCATCTCACCACTAAACCGTGTCCCTAAGCGACTCGTCCTATATATAGAATTTTTCTATATAAAAATGCATTTTGTCTGCCAACATAAAATTTTAGTGAGATATTTAAAAAAAATAAATGAAGCCTGTACTTATTCTGTCAGGAGAAAAGGTCTTCTTTTCAGTGCTCCCCGTCAGACTTGTATTCATGTGCTGTTTTGTAATATTGTGAAGAGAGGTTTTTATCACAGAATCGTAGAAGCATAGAATGCTTTGCGTTGGAAGAGGCCTTTAGAGGTCATCTAGTCCAGCCCCCCTGCAGTGAGCAGGGACACCTTTAACCAGATCAGGTTGCTCAGAGCCATGTCCAACCTGGCCTTGAATGGTTCTAGGGATGGGGCTTCCACTACCTCTCTGGGCAACCCGTTCCAGTGTTTCACTGCCCTCATTGTAAAAAATTCCTTCCTTATATCCAGTCTAAATCTACCCTGCTTCAGTTTAAAACCATTACTCCTTGTCCTGTCATAGCAGGCCTTGCTAAAAAGATTGTCCCCATATTTCTTATAGGCTCCCTTTAAATACTGAAAGGCTGCAATTTAGACCTTTTTTTTTTCCTGAAAAAAATTAGATTCGAATTTCTAAGCTCTAAGAGTTATAAATTCTAAATGTAGCTTGATTCCAAAGGTAAACATGCACAATATACCTACAAGTTCCTGCTTTTTTTTTCTCTGCTTGGTGATGGGTCCCACTTGAGGGACCCAAGTCTCAAGGAGCAGCTCCACACTGGAAGCTCTATCCATGGTTCTGGAACCTGCGGTGCCATCGCAGAATTTCCCTGTTCAATTTCAATGTGCCTTTGTGTGCGATAGTGATTCGTCAGGTTTGTAAACTTCCTTCTTCAGTGAAACATATCAAGTCTATGAATATCCTAAGTTCTGGTAATTTAAAATTAGCATCATGTTCTTCTTTCTGCCTTTAACAACTTTGAAAATTACCTTTACATAATTTAAAAATCCTGGGATTTAACTAGAAAAAGGACATCTTTAGCATGAAATCAAGTTATTCATTAGTACTAGGTGAAACAAAGTTATTTTTCCATGTTATAAGGCTTTATAGACCAATAATATTTTGAAAGTATGCGGAAAACTATAAATAACTGGAAATGTTAATGTCTGAATACAAGCAGTAACTCTTCTGTTAATGACTAAATACAAGAAGAAACCCTTCTTCTTCTACCTACAAAAATTCAGTCATTGATTCCACAGAAATATGTACTTCAACAAAGTCTAGAAAGATAAAATATATATTTTTATAGAGTTTAAAAAGTGTTAAAGTCTACTAAAGGCTTACAAGAAATGTTTGTTACTCCTATTTTAACTTTATAATTCAGGCTACCTATGCATTCTGTGGATATTTACTTCCTTAAGCACAATATTCAGAGATAACAATTTTTTCTTCATTCTTGCTATTTGATTTCATATATGTGAACCAAAATAACATAAAACTTTTGCTGTTGCCTTCTTTGTCAGGAGGTACCACATCTTTTCATTGGGTGTCTTTATGGTCAGATGTCTTTCCTCTGCTGGGCTTAGGAGTAGTCACTTTTTCCATCCTAACAGAATTGGGTTTAGCTTGTAATCAACATTCCCATCAGCAATTTCATGTGCACTTTTGCTTCTTATGGGCCCAGTCATACTCCCGTGAAAACGTTAGCTTCAATATGAGCAGTCAGCTATTTATTGTTCTCTTTTTGTGTTGTTTCTATTCATTTCTACTAATAATGTTTCTGTTAGTCATTTATTGCTTGTTACAGTGTGAAAGCTGAGGAGGGTTACAAACTAGTCAGTTGTTATTGCTGAACAGAAGTGTGCAGGTCCAGAAAGAAAACCTTAGTATCATTTAAACTGTTCAAGATATCTGAGTTCCCTTTATGGCCAGCCTAAGGTTTAGACATTACTAATCACTGAATTACCCTTTTGACTGAAGACAAAATACTGGATTTATGTTATCTGAGTCTAAACATTACATTCAATTTTCAGGCTTCTGGGAAAATACCAAAGCAGCTCAAGACTTGCTATTATCAGCAGCTAACACTCTATTTCCCTATCAGACTTATGTCTCCTTCCCACCTATCTTCTCTCTTCTTCTTTCCACAATAAGGAACCTGTAAAATGTTTGTTATTATTATGGGTAAGTACTTTATACAAATATTTATTGTGTGGTTTATTGCAGTTATAGAGCCTAAAACCAGCAAAAATATCCTATGTGCTCAGATTGTCATTTTAACAAGAGAATATGTAAGGAGATATTTTATCAGACATTAGAATGAGTTTGTTTATTGTCAGACAAGAGCTCCGAGAATGTTTTTTTTTTTTTTTAGAAACAAACAAGCGAAAAACTATTTTGATTTTAATCAAAAATGTATTTTCCTCATAAAAAAAATTCACGTACTCACTGTGTCTACTCTACAGAGTTTGTCCATTTCATTACACCATGTGTCAATCCTAGTATATCTGTTCACTGCAAAAACTCGTGGCTAGTGTGTGTAATACAGCACAGGAGGAGGTATTGCTCAGTTCCACTACTTTTATATAATAATTAAAAAAAAATACAGAAAATGTTCTTGGCTACTTGCACTGTATTCCAGACTTAAAAGTCCCGTTAAAGTTCTAGAAAATGAAGTTAGTTGTATTTGGTTGGTAGAATACCCTTAGAAGTCAGATTCTCTTATGCTGAGTCAGTACCTATTCCCATTTGTTGGCAGCAGCAAAGTCCAGGCATCTAGTTCCTAAAAGAAATACTTTTTCATGTTGCCTTTTTATTCAGCACAAATGCATTCATGTGCTTTTTATTTCAGAAATTAAGTGTTATACTGACATATTTATGACATATTGGTTGGTACACCTATTACAGTTGCTTTTACTTCCATTGCTGTGCTTTTTTCTTTGCCCATGTCCCAAAGACTGATTAGAGGAGGATAAAGCTCGTTGAGTGAAAAGGATTGTTTCTTCAGATAATTCTTTAGATAGCTGTGTCCAACGTCATAGTTCATCTCTCGTGAGATGCAACTGTAGAGATATATCACAGAGATGATTCCCAAAAGAGCACCAAGGCAGGCAAGGAATCCTATTAAGTTGCTCTTTTCGTAGCCTTTCGTTGCCACGTCCAGTCCTTTTGTGGTTACGTTGACACATTGTTTCTTGTTCTGTGAATAGATAGTGGGAATATCTATACAAATTTTGTATTCAGTTGATGGATTTAGATGCGTAAGATTATAGACCTTTATATCAGATGGTATTCGAGCGCTCTGTGCAGCCTGAGAGTTTTCAGCTTTCAGAAAGGCTGTCCATCTAACACTGGATTTCAGAATTTTAGAACTTGTTTTCCATGAAACCAAGACAGAATTAGATTTTATATCTTTTATTTTAATATTCAAGGATCCATTGCTGTCCTGAGGAAAAGAGCCATCCACTTTAATCATAACTGACTTTAGGTCTGCCCCAACTAAATTTGTTGCTATACACGTGTATAAGCCACTTTCTTTTTGTGTAACATCACTTATGTCTAATGTTCCTTCAGAATGAATGTAGTATTTATTAGAAATAGTATTAGGCAAAAGTTTGTGTCCTGATGGTGTTATCCAGTAGATTTCAGGTTCTGGTTCTGCTGTTGCTCTGCAGTGTAAGGAAATATGGCTGCCAGTTTTTAAATCCAGAGTAGATGGAAAACTTTCAGGAGCTATCAGGGGGAGACAGATTTCCATCATTTCCCGGAAGTGTATCTGTCTCACATTCTGGCCTTGGAATTCAGGAGGGTCTACACAAAACAGGGACTCTGGCTCCATGAAGCGAATGTTTGTTTTATTCATGTTAATCCAGCGGATGACACAATCGCATCTAATGGGATTGCTGTGTATACTGACTTCTTTGAGGTTAGGCAAGGATTCTATTGTACTGCGGTACAGGGCACTCAGCGCGTTGCTGTTGAGCATCAGCGATTCCAGCTTGGGAAGTCTGTAGAATGCATTTGGATGAATGTATGATAATCTGGGGTTATTGGTAGCTTCTATTTTTCTTAAATCTGGCAAATTATCAACAGCAAGACTATCTATAGAAATGAGTTCAGGCATGTTATTAATTCCTAACTCTTTTAGGTGCAGCATATTGCTAAAATCTCCTCGTCGTATTCTGTTAATGGGGTTCTTATTTAGATCCAGAAATTTAAGATTTGTAGCCTTTTGAAGAGCAACGTGGGGCACTCTAACAAATCTGTTGTCGTAAAAGGAGATGCTTTCTAAATTGTCAAGGCCAACCAAAGCATTGTCTGGTATTTCAGTGAGATTTATGCCTGCTAAAACTAGGCTGCGCAGATTGATAAGAGGTTTAAAGTTCATATCTTCAATTCTGATTATTGGGTTTTCTCCAATCATGAGAATTTCAAGATTAGGAGTAGCTTCAAACCACTTCCTGTTGATCATCTGCAGACCATTTGAATTGAGATGAAGTCTGAGAAGATTATTGAGGCCTATGAAAGCTCCCGGTGCAATCACAGAAAGCAGGTTATGATTAATATAAAGCTCTTGTAAATTTTGGAGTCCAGAGAGACATTCTTCAGGGAGTTCAGTAAGTTTGTTTTCTTCAAGGTACACTGAAAGCAACTGTGGTACCTTTATAAGATTAATACTGGTCACTGAGGATAAATTGTTCTGAGATAAATCTAGACCAGTTAAATTCACTGGGAAGTCTACTGAATGTTCAATTTTTGCAATATTATTAGTCTGTAGAAGTAGAACCTGTGTGTTGGCAGGCAGTCTGGCTGGAAAATTAAAAAGGCCTAAATCATTGCAGTCTACTGTTGGAGCCTCCATATACACAGACCTGGGAGTGAACCATGGTCTGATCTCACATATACATGACTCTGGGCAGTCTGCTTTTTTTTCTACAGCTTGTACCAGTGCAGTGATAACTAGGCCAAGTAGAAAATTAATTTTGAGTTGCATGTCCTTCATCTTAGCTCAAATGTTCAGAAAAGTAACAGACCCTTTAGTATTCCACAGTTATGGTTTTGGAATTCAGTATGACCTGGTCAATTGATTATACACACACATGCATTTGTCAAATGATGATCGCAAAAGACTTTCTTCCTGAGGATAAGTGGTAAATTTGTAACCGACTTGTCCAGTAGTAAGAGGCATTTTGTGGCAATGAAGGTCACTCTGTCCTTGATGACATAAAATTGATAGGCTTTGTGAAGATGAAGTATGTATAGATGGTCATAGGAGATTAAGCAATTCATTTATTTAGTAGTATTAACTTCAAATCCCATGATTGATTAGTGTTTGCAGGAATGACAGGATGACCTAAAATATAAGAAGAGGAAATAATTAGTATAAGAAACTATAAAGTTATAAATTAATTTAGCCATCTTTTGCTCTCTAATGTTAATTATTGCAAGTAAGAAAAGAAAATTACTGTGGTGCCTAGAGTATTGTAGTGGTATCCAGATAGCATAAATGAAGTTAATATAGTAATATATCTTCAGACTTGTAGCTTGTCATACATCCAGTGGAGCATTGCTCTACAGAAAGATGAAGATCCACAAAGTATAAAGCAAAATATATCAGTGAGATTTTTCTACATATTTTATGCTCCTTTAAAATATTTTCTTTTTTCTTTCAGTTATCACTAGAAGCAGACTGAGTTCTGTTGGCTTTGAAAATGTAAACACTGAGCAAAATTCTACAGAGCATGAATATTTAACTTTTGAACATGAAGTTTATAAATATAAAGAACATAATTTATGTCTAATCAAAGGAAAAAGGAATGGTTGGATTAATACACATTCCTAATGATGACATTCTTAGTCAAACCTGTGAGATATTTATACAGAAATATACAAAATTGATAATCCACAGCTTTTATCATTTTCTAATTCTTTTTGTAGTCTCTGTTTAGGAAGAAAACCTGTTTTTTTCTTTAAAGCGATAATTAGAAAGAAATATGTACCTCATAATAAATAGCTCATCATCTTGGCAAATTCAGGCTAATTACTGGCTTGCTTAATTTGGCTTCAATAACTTCAATTGCAAAGAATAATAATAACAGAAAAGTGTCTTTAGAGTGATAAGAAGGGAAAAAAAAATCTACACCAGCAATTGTGTCTTTGCTCTGTAGCTCTGCAAGAATCTGAAATTTGCTATTAAGTTACAGATTGTCTTCATGTCCAAAATTATAGTGGAGACTGAAGCCTTAGCATCTTGAAGCATTGAATGTGTCCTTTCCAGATTTTTGGTATGAACTTGCTTTTTTAGGGAGGGGGGGAGAGGGGAGGAGTCTAGTATGGGTGTACATTCTGTTCCAAGCCATACAATTCAAAAGTTTCTGTGCTTTCGTATATGAAGTAGTACATATTAACTGCTTCATTTTCTTCATAATATAGACTTTGCGCTAACTTTACATGGACTTTGTCTCAGAAGACTTTCATACAAATACATATTTATGCCCTTTCTCCCCTTGCCTCTGGTGTTAAAATTCGCAGTGACATTGTTTACAAACTGTAAGATAAGATCAATGCTTCATTGACATTGATAAATAACTTTTGAGGTGTTGCTGGCATAGGTAGACAGAATTACAAAAGTCAAGTGTCAAGGATTTGGATTTTAGGTTTCCTTTCTAGGCCCAGGAGGGCTGGGCATATTGACCACGTAGGAATTCCATATCAGCTCAGAGGAAAGGTGTTGGACCATGTCAAGTGACATCAGCATCGGGCCAATTTGTAGTACATTTGGCAAGTCTTTGAGGCTGCTGTTTGTGTTATGTACGTTTAAGGACATTTAATATTTTACTTTAACATGTAAGCGTATTAATAAAGTGAACAGACAATGTGTGAGATAAACATACAGAAAACATTCTGCTGTTTTGAGGATTAATAATATGTTTTTATGCAAATGGCCCAGTTTATACTGAAATGCAAAGACATGCTGACTGAAATAGTAAAAATGTAATCTGTTCCTTTGTTCTGGGAAATGAGATGAACTTGAGGCTTTCAGAAAAATAAAGGCTTGCATTGGACTGTTAATGCCTATGACTTCCTCTTGATTTTGCCACCAGGAGGCAAGGTGATACACCTATATGGAGTACTGTTCCATTTCCTAAAGATTTCGGTAGAAATCATTCTATGCCAAATGCACAGATGTAATTTACTATATAGGGAGAAAATAGGATGCCCATGGTGG